TAGGGGGAACGAGGGTTAACGGCATCCACCAGTTCAAACTCCTTTCAGAGCAGTGCGTCAATTCACAATACCACAAACATACTGATCTAAGGTAAGTTTATTTTTTCTCCTCTCTGGCATGTTCGTAGATTTCTAAAGATGCTATTCAACATTTTAGGAAAAAATAATTAACATCATAAGGGGTTGTGTTAGGTTGCTTGTTTAAGTTCTTGTTTAAAATAAAATTAGTCGACAAAACCGTATGACTAGATCTTTTGGAGCCCACCGGAGCGTCGATAGGACCTTATAAACACAGTAGGTGGGTTTAGGTTGTGTCTTCCATGTACATGATGCCATATAGCCATATAAGGATTGGCTGAACTACAGACTAAATGTGAATGTGAGAAACATCTGCTGAAAAGCAGGGCGAGAAAAACAGCTGTATCAGTTTCCTTCCACTCCACTCACACTTTTCCCCACCTAACAAAGCAGTGTTCAAAGTACAGTGTGAGCAATGAGTCAATCCAACTCGTTGCATGTTCATCCAAATTTTTCCGCCTTAAACCAGCTCAAACAGGAAGAAAAAAATCTGTAAATGCCTTCTGGGATAAAAGACCATAGATCAGAAATGCTAAATGTATGCTCTAAATGGTTCTTGTCCATCTATTCCTGGTTTAAGGCAGTTATCTGGGAGGGCGAGAGCACAACTAATGCCAACAGCTGCAGTTAAACGTAGGGGTTTACTGCAAATGCAGATTAAGCTTTAGATGCAGAGAGTGAAAAAAACAAAACTAAAAATATGTAAAACATAAAATCTTGTAAAACATTATTACATTAAAATAGGTATAACTGAATTAAATCACATTCACGAACCATCTACTTATTTATGGAACTTAAGATTAGAGAAAGTGTGATAAAAAAGAAAAGGTTTGATTTTTTCCCCCCTCGTTTTAGGCATAAAAAATGCATTGATTAATTTAAAAAAAATCATTCTGGTGCAAACTTGACTGGTTTAAACAAAAATGTTACATTTAGCATCTGAAATTGAGTGAACTACTGCGCATTAAGCTGGACTGTGAATAGGCCTCTGAGAGCAAAGGAAGTCGTCATAACTCAGCACAAAGCATCATCGTGTATCATGATGCAGGTAACTAGAAATGGGGCGGTGTTCAAGATAAAAGACAGATGAGACATGTTCAGACAAATGTATGCACTGGAAAAGGCAAAAGATTTTGCTGCTTTAAAAAAAAAAACACTGGAAAGGAACAAAAAGACTGAAAAATATTGGAAAATGTAAATTTAGGCAGAAGCAAACCCACACAAATAAGTAAGGTTGAGGTCAGAGAGGAAACTGCCCTGAACTCTCCCTTTAGGCTGACATCAGAGGTCCCTTTGTGTGCTGCACTCCATTTATTTTACCCATCATCCCTCATCAGGCTGGGATGACCCTGTGACCCCAGAGCTAGGGTTACCTGTCAGTTGACTGTCCATTCTTGAGCATGGGGCTTGATGCTGTGTCAACATTTGTCCTAGAAAACAGGAGTGAGGAAAACAGAGGAGCTTGGTTCTGTGTGGAGAAGAGAAAAAATAGAATAGTTAGACAGAACAAGTCTAACTACAGAAACTGCTTCACATTCAGCTTAACTGAATAACTTTCTTCTTTTTCTCTTTCAAACTCGCAAGTTGAAGCTGTGCAGCATCCTGACTAGTACACTCTGTGCACAGATGACATGAATGTGTGATAATTCCTGTTTACTCAGAGACAGGGCGATTCAAAGAAACACAGTAAACTTGTGCTCGCATGGATACCTACTGAGGGGTTCCTACAAAAACACTCCAAAAGCCCCCTTTGTGTGTGCTGTCAGCTATCAATCAATCAGGGTGCCGTAAGTGGGATCCTTGAGTGGAGATGCTATCAGCACTGCCACATATACACTCACACCACAGTTTCCCTTATCTTCGCAGAGATAACAGATCCCCTCTCACAGGGAGAGGCCTGAACCAGACACACTCGCTTTCTGCATCTCTCTCGCTATCTGTCTCAGCTGTGCCATAGGCCCCTTCATTTCAGATGGGGGGCCCTCAGAAAAAAAAAAGTCAATTTGCTTTGGTTCCTGTTTAAAATTCAATAAGTGTGTCTCTTAAATTGCAGCCGCGTGGTGCTAGCGGAGGCTACAGAGGGCTGCTGCTGCTTTTGATTTCAATCTCTGATGCTATCAGCCTCCAGAAGACACATGATACATGTCTCGGTTGACAAATCTAGACAGGCATGAAATTAAACAAAAATCAGAAGCATGAAACAATACCAATTTCCTGCAACTGTACTTTTTTATTATTTCGTAAACATCCCATTTCCGGGAAAACTAAAGTGTTTAAGGTTTGCGGTGTCTTTCAATGAGTAAAGTGAACAGATGGTTCAGACTTGTGAAATTAAGTGGCTTTACAGGTTAAAGTGCAGGATGCGTGCATGTTTGAAGCTACATTTTTATGTACCCTGTTGCACTTTATGTTTACACTGCTGAGCGGTAGATATGTGACATCACTGCAGCCGTTTTCTTCTCTGGTTGGAGGACAGCGAGCTCAGGAGATGGTTCTGAACTGGCAGCGTTTTGGGGCTTCCACCAGACCACAGCACGTTTGCCTAATAACAAAAACAAGCATCCTGGTGTGGAGCTGGTCCCACAGTGTGAGGACCTTAATGAGGAACATGTGGAGCTGCCCAGACACACTGTCAGAGGAAACCCAATCCTTCACTCCCTCTTTTTCTCCCCCTTCCCCCTACTCTCCCATTCTTTCTTTCTCACTCTCTTTTGCCTCACTTTCCACATTCTGTCACAAAACCCGGGGTCTTTAGCACTTCTTTTAGATTGTTGAAATGTCAAATCTTTATTGTATTCTTTCTCAGGGGATAAAAGTTTCTTTTCTGGACTTTTTCTATTGTGCCACTATTTTAAGTGACCTGCTGTGAGCAAAAGAAAAACCCTAGCCTTGATCTTTTTATATGATAGACACCTTTGTCATGTGCCCGCTCTCTCCAGTTTGTTTTAGAGAGAGTTGGTATTGTATACATAAATGCTGGGTCATGCAATGCAATACGCCAATAAGGAAAGAAACGAATAAAGAGGTCTTTCTCCACCCATCAAGGCTGACAGGCGGTCTCTGAGTTTCTTTCATGTGCTGAATTCATCCTTACCATCCACCTGGATCAATTAACTGTTTGCTTCAGTGGCCATCAACCCCACAGTGTGGAACCTCAGCTCATTTAGTAGACAGGAGCTTTTTAAGTATAATTATTATATAATTATAATAATATATAAAATCAAGTATAATAGATTTTGTGGTTTTTAGAGACATGCAGATGTATGTATGGGGGTTTTTCATCTTCAGTGCTTATAAAAGGAAGTAAAAAAATGTGTTTTCTTTTCCCAGGAAATGTCATCACACTCCTCTGAAGGCAAATTTTATAAGAGGTGAGACAAACCTGATCAGCAGATCTCTCTGTCATACTGAAGCAGTGCTCTCTGTCCAGGCTGTCACGGGGAAAATGAAGCGCAACCTGTTTAAGGGAATTTAAAATATGACCTAAAGCACAGCCATAAAGTAGATCAACTAAACAAACCTCCAAAATTAGCTGCACAAACAGAGTAAGGTAGATCCCTCTGGGGGGATAAACTTGGCACAGTGGATCCAGTGTGACAGAGGCCCCTCTGGCAGCTCAGAACAATCCAAACGTTCCACTTCGGTGGAGCTGTCTGCCCCCCTCCATTACAAAAACTACACAAACCCATACACACATATATATAATGGCATATATATATATATATATATATATATATATATATATATATATATATATATATATATAATCTCTATATATAGGCCTTCAAGACCTTTTGCTGGAATGACAGGCCACCTGAATCACACAGTTGTGTTGCTGGAGGAGCCTGCATGTGTACAGAAAAGCCAGTGATCCAGTAAGCGTGTGGGTTCACTTCTCTCGCATAAAGTCTGGAGGGAGGTGCGCAGGAGACCCACATCTACAACCAAAAACATTCCAGTTGTGCTAAAACAAAGCCTCAACTTTTAATCAAACTGAAACTACACCAGTCTCCATTTTCTAAATATCAACATTTTATTCAGTAATGGGTCGGCGCATTAACATTCTTTATTTGCATGGCACAAAAACCGCAGAGTGTGTCACAGGCGAAAGGCTGAATCTGGTGAGTCTGCGTGCCTTGCAGATGGTCCGGCCTCACAGCAGCTGTGCAAATGAAAGACAGAGTGTCATTAAAGGAGTGAGAGAGATGGAAAGTTGGCCACAGAGGGAAAAGAGTAACACACAAGTTGCTAACTGAAAATGTAATGGAAAAAATAATAGCACGCTGAGATTTTGCTGAGAGAAAATGAATTTGTAGAGCATTTTTTCTGAATTTTGGAGAACAGTGTCAGTATTTGTGTCAAGTATGCCTATAATAATTTACATGTTAATGGTAAACTGCAAGCCATTGTCAGTGATAAAGGATTTTTCACTCAGTGCCAGCTAATGCCATGTTCTGCTTTTAAAATATTCACTTGATAATCTGAGACCTGTATCAAATGCTGTCAATCAATAGCCACCAAATCTGTAGTGGGGGAAAACAGCAGGTGACAGCATCCTGCTCCATGCTGAAAACACAAAAACATTTGCCCCTCGGGTGGGGGACGGGGGGTAAAAAGAACATTTCCCCGTTGGTGCAAAAAAAAGTTTGTTGCACAAGTTTATATCGTAATTCTGCATGAGAAAACTGCATTACTTTCCACTTCTGGATACACTAAATGCTCCAAATTCTCATCTTATGCATCCGCACACAGTTTAACTACTATAAACAAGGCATGCTGTGATTCTTCGGTTATAATCGGGGCAATTACAGCTTCACACCGCCACGACTGTCGCTGAAGGCCCTTTTCCACTGTCCTCACCCCCCCGAGTAATTGCCACTACATGTAAATATCAAGTGGTTAGTGAATAATTAGTCTTTCATTGGCCAGCAATCACCTCTGGGCCCCGTCTACACTTTAGACCCCTCCCTCGTAGAGCCGCCCTGAAGACAGGGGCCCCTTTGAATGACAGCGCTTTGGAAGGAAGACGAATTTTTGTCTGATTTCTCGCAGCCGCAGCGTCGATGAGAAGCAGTCGAGGAACTCCATTCTAACTGAATGGATTGGTATGGGGAGAAGCGGACCTCAAACCACGGCTAAGCGGCAGCTTTGGGACTGTGTAACGTTGACGATGGTTTTACTTTCGCTGCTGTTTCGACCAGGTAAGTGTTGCTTTTCCAATCCGTGCTCCCCCACTCCTCCTAATGCCCTGCATACAAGGCTGTGTCCCGGTAATGGAGGTGGATAGGGAAAAGTTTTCCTGCTGTTGTGTGGCTCAGATGTGACTCTTGTCAACTTTATGCTGTACTTGCATGCATTGTGCGGTAAGGGGTAATTAATGTGGGGTTGAACAGAGCGAGGAAAGCGGCCGTTGTTTTGCGGTGGTCGTCGGCTGCGGGGACAAAGTAGGTCCTGTCCTGCTGCTGCAGGATCCCAGCCTCCAGGCTGCAGCGCTGCTAGCAGATCAGCACGAGTTAACTCGCTTTCTGGACTCATTTTAGGGTCAAACATTCCGCTTTTCCCTTTCCACACAGGGACACCAAACAATCTGCTCCTAACCGCTCAGTGGCCAGCACGTTTTGGCACGCCCGCATTACTTCACTTATCTTTTTACCAACTTATGTAAAGTTACGACTTAGCTTCCCGTTAGCATAGCTCGCTAGCAGCTGGCGTCCAGCACCCACAATCAGCCCGAGAACAAAACCGCGGAGCTTTTTCCCCTTTTTCTTCTGTAGGCAGAAACACCGCAGACGGACACATTTCGTACTGTAGACAGCGCCCTGTCTTTCCTTTCACATCTCAGTTGTTTGAGTTGTTGGAAAAACTAAGGAGAGCATGTTAATTCACCTATTCATGCCTCATTTAGCTACCATGCATGGGGGTCCAACTTTTTGGCCTCTGAACGTGTTGGTGGCTGCTATCTCCCAACCCGGGATCAAAGACCAGCTCGGCTCAGAGGCATTCTTCATTTGGATCGTAAAGTTTAAGTTTTGTTTCTCACACAGGCGATTTGTCTTGGTATGGAGATTTGTTTTAAACTCTGTCGGTGGTATTATTTGTTGTGTTTATATGAGAAAGTAACTAGTGCGCATGCTTGTAAGCACTATGATAAAATTAAGATATTGTTTGTTTGTTGTGTTTGTTTGTTTGTTTGTTTAACAGAAATGCACATTACTGATATATACGCTTATCATTTCAAAGGAAGTGTTCAATCATGATGCCAAAAATAAACAGCAGCCTTAGTGACTTTCAAAATAAAACCTCAGGTTCATCTTTGTTCAAGAGTCATGATGAGTCCACTAAACCCATCACGAAGCTTAAGAGGTTATTATTGTAACCTATATGAGCCACCATATCTGTCTGTTTTTGCATTTATGGCATTATTATGCTATAAAAAAGTTCACTGAGTTGGGCTCGGACAGAAACTCGTCACGTCAGATACACTAATGCGTGATTTACTAATAGAAGCACTCTTTGTGTGGTCGCTTTGCTTTTCTCACGCTTTAGTGCTTCCCACATGGTCCCCAAACTTGTTGGTAGCTTAACTAAGTCCTCAAACTTAAAGAGCCTTTGGGGGGCTGTATGGCTGTTGATGGCAGGTGATTGTCAAAAAGTGTCAATCACGGCAGACTCGGGTGACCTCTTAGCAAGGCGGGGGAAGGCCTGTTGGAATTCAGAGGAGGGATGCGTCTGACTTGACCTCTCGCACTCCATCTCGGATCAGCGCTGGTATTGAAGCGCATTGGCTGTGAGAGGCATTAATCATCCGGTGCACCAGACTTCTGCATAAGGGAAGAAAGGGTGGAAAAAAACCCCTCAAAAACATAGTGTTTACCAATGTGAAATCTCTGTGCTTATCTTGTCTTTGTCCAGGCTGTTTTGGAGATTAGGTGCAGCTTTGGAGTAAATACAAGATTATTCTGTTGCAAACAGAGAGCAGTTTATTGCAGTTGATCTCACTCTTGCCGTAAAAGTATGTGTTGAGATTCTGGCTGATCCTGATCTGAGATGGAAATGTTTCTACCTTGCAGCAGGAATTACTATCCCGGTCAGCGTATGAGACACGATACCCAAAAGTAATGTGAACACCCTGAAAGGAAATTGACGAATAGCCACATTTTTTACTTCTCTCCCAGAAGTAGTTGTAGGTCTTTGTTTTCCTTGATATTAAATAACCCACTGGTGGATCATTACTTAACTGGGAACCTTGAAACGGACCACCAAAAACTCTGCTACACAGCCTATACTGCTCTTCCCATACGTTGAGCCTCACTGTGCCATGCATTGTGGCTGGACTTCACTTACCTCCAGCAACAGCCAAAACCACATTCAACACCCTCCGCCAAACTAACGCAGGTTGGTCGCCTCCTGCAGTGAGGCTACATGATATTTCTGTGAGAGCTAGTTGGGGGAAATAAGTTTTGACTGACTTTGGAGCACAGTGTGGGATTAAGGCCTCGTGAGCTCACGCATTTGCGTTTTAATGGCTCTCCTGATTGAGCTAAACTTGATAGTGGAAAAGCTGTGTCTGCTGCCTCATGCACTGAGGTAATATGTCTGTAAATGTCAGATGGATGGTAGGGCATTTTGGGAGATTTTTTTTTTTTTTTCTGGTGCACATTAGTTTACTTTTCAGGAATTATTTATTTTTTTCAGAGTGGGGATGAAGTGTTCTTACTCAAAAAGAGAAATTCCCCTTGCAACCGGCCCGATTGTAGTACAGTTTTGTGATCATCAGGGTTTTTTTTGTTTGTTTGTTTCTTTTAGCACACTGCCAGCAGTGTAGAATCCAGCGCTGTAATGCAGAATATGTGGCATCTACCTCACCGTCCAGTGGTCTGCAGGAGGACGTGGCTTTAGATGTGGACTACTGCATCGCCCTGCGGGCCTATGCCATGTGCACCCGCCGGCAGGCACGCAGCTGTAGGGGCGACCTGGTCTACCACTCGGCCGTCTTTCGCATTAAGGAGCTATTCTCTCAGCATAACTGTTCCAGCGATGGGCCGACCTCTTCCGACAAGGTCCCCAGCACGTCTCGGCCAGCTCTTTTAGAGCTCTGCAACTACGAGAATCGGGTCCTCGTGTCGGGCTCAGCCGGTCAGCAGAAGAAATACGCCCACTGTGGATTATTTGGAGACCCGCACCTACGGACTTTCAGAGATGAGTTTCAGACCTGCAAGGTCGAGGGGGCTTGGCCTCTGATCGATAACCGCTTCCTGTCTGTACAGGTGACCAATGTGCCTGTTGTCCTAGGCTCCAGCGCCACAGCAACTAGTAAGGTAAGGATAACATCAGAACAGCTGTGTCCAGCTGTGTCTGCACAGCTTAAATCTAAGAAATGTCCATTTTTTCATGTCTTAACTTGTTTAAGTTGCTCTTTCGTGTGTGTTTATTCTAACACCAAAATATGTGAAACTGCTCACAATTTAATTAAAGAAAATTAAAGAGTAGAGCAAAATTTTACTAAAATATCCCCAAAAATGTCAATCTCACAAACCCCTGGGGGAGGTGAAGCTCACGTAGACACTCCAACTGGTCATGTTTAATCTGTGTAAAATGTCAGAAACTTCCTCCGGTCACCTATGTCCATGTTGGAGACGAACACTGATGCAATACTAAGTTTTAAACGAATGCCCTACACATTAGGAAGTTTTTTTTGGTTTTTTTTTTGGGCGTGAGCTCAAGTATTGCCATAAAGTATCAAACATGTGAAGTTAATCGTCATTCCATGGTGCCTCTCGAGTCTCCAGCATTCCTCGTGTCTTGGAGCTCCTTCAGATCTATGAGGGGAGAAGAGAGGAGGGGAGTCCTTCAGCGGTGTTGAATCACAGACATGCATGAGCGCTCTACCTTTAACACATGGGTGGTCATATGGTAGTGATTAACGCTCACTCAAACATTTTCCTCCGCTGCCACGATCTGGAATGTTTTTTCACCCCTCTGGTCAAATAATTAACTCGCTGCTTTTTGTGTAAATATGGAATCATTTGGAAAAATAAAGGAATAATTGGCCAAGAGCAAAAAGGTTTTTGTTTTTTGTTTTTTTAAATTCTGTTAATTAAATAGGATGGTCTCCCTGGCCTGATTGTGGTTTGTGTATGTGTGCACGTTTTCTCTCTGTTTACTACTTAATATTTAGCTCATGAAGCTGAGTTTTTAATATTAATGTTTTTTCTTCTTTGTCTTTTGCCCAGATAGTTTAAAAAAATGTCTTTCATTGATCAGGCATTACTCTAACTGTACTAAGCTAATTTTAATTCTCCAAGCTAAACATAAACCAACAAACTACACGATGTTGTGTAATAGGATTGCTCGTAAAACTCGTAGTGCGTCTTGGCTGTGCAGCCTGATGTAAGACTGTAGTATTGGTGCATCTTTGCCAGCACCCACATGCCCCCATCATGTTTTCTGAGTTGTTTTCAGCTGCCAGACCCAAGACAGGAACTCATTCATCAAATAAAATACAACCTTTAAGTGTAAACGTACCCACAACCAGTGCTTTGTCAGGATCTTTTCATGAAACGGGGGTTAGGCCCCTTTCTGATGCTCAGCTGGACGATGGAGGAGAGAAGAAGTGGAGGTTTTGGACAGTTATCTAATGCAACCTTTAGATACAACATCCATGGACAACTAGTTGAGTTGTACTAGTTCAGCATCAGTTGTTTGCTTTTACGTGGAAATAGATGGGTGATGATAGTGACACTTTGACCTCGATTAGCCCCATTATGTTGCCTGTTTTCTTATATGAAACAGATTTTGTAATCAACATGAATTAATTGGCTAAAGAGTACAACAGAGACAAATCATTCTTTAGCAAGCTGAGTGTGAACCACTAACACCCTATGCATGGAAATATTTGGTTTTCTGCTGCCACCTTGTGGCCCTAAGTGGTACTACTTATTGGGCATCTGTTATGATCAGTTAGAGGAGTGATGTGACTTGGAGAACCAGCAGTAGATAGTTGATGGAGAAAAGAGTAAAGTTTCAATCAGTCACTCCACACTAATTGAATGTTTTTTGTCCTTATTTCAGATCACAGTGATCTTCAAGTCTTACCATGGCTGTACAGATCAGAAGGTCTACCAGGCCACCACTGAAGACCTACCCCTGGCTTTTCAGGATGGGACTCGCAGTGGCGGTGAAAGTGGCAGCCTGACCATCGCAGAGCGAGGTGGCTCCGGAGTCGGTCGGCAGGTGAGGATACAGGCCCGTTACATTGGCACCTCCATCATCATCCGGCGCGTGGGTAGCTACCTGACCTTTGCCATCCGCATGCCAGAAGACACCCTGGACTTTTCAGAAGACGGCGGCGGTCTACAGTTGTGCTTGCACGGCTGCCCACGCAACGAGCTCATCAAAGAGCACACCCTGGGCCATCAGAGCCAGCAGCCACACCTTCAAGGCACCAACACAGAGCTGGGCCCTCTGCGGCCTCCTCACCAGATCTACACAGTGGAGCGAGCCACTGCCAAGTGTAGAGAGACTCTGCAGGTGGAGGATGTGTACTTTCAGTCTTGTGTCTTTGACTTGCTCACCACCGGAGACCCCGAGTTCTCCATGGCTGCATATGGTGCTCTGGAGGATTTGAAGGCACTGCCACCCAGTAAACTGAAGCAGAACTCACCGAGGCCCACTCGCCTTCACAACCGAGGAGTGTCTCAGACTATCGCTGCTACTGCAACCAGCAGCTCATTGCTCTCACTCCTCATTCTGCTGCTTTTGTAAAAAAAAAAAAACACATAAATGAATATGAATGACATGGACGTAGATGGATCATGGAAGCATTACAAGCTTGAGGAATTTGTGGATTTTGTGAACTTTCTGTTGTCATTTGAAGGATTTCGCACTCAGAAAAGATTGCATTTCTTCCCCCTTTTTCCCTTCTGTGGACACATCATTTGAATGCGAACATGAATGCATAAATGTCACACAATTTGGGGTCTAGTACACGTTTTTATCACATGAGCAGTTCGTCTACATTCAGTTTAAAAAGAAAAGTTAAGCTCACAGTTGTTCGTAAAGGTTTTTGTAAATATTTCATTCACATTCAGTAAGGAAGTGCACAACCTCTAAATGCTCCACCACATGGTTTCTAGATCCTCAGTGGTCCAGTATCCGTAGCACCTAACAGTTTAACTGCAAATATTGTGTATTTAATATCTTTCTATTTCATCTGTTGTTTTAAAAATTGGTGTTCTAAATACACAGAATCCAACAACTGTTTGTAAAAACTACCTATCTCTTAAAACCTGATTCGTTGGTGTGATTTTTCACCAGTTCTGTTCTTTTCCTGTGAAGCGCTCCCTCTTCAAGCTGTTTGGCTTCCTGTTTTTAAAGGTTTAAAACAAATCTTTATATAATAATATATTAAAAGAGTGTATATATGTGTTTTATATTATGTAAATTTGCCTGTGTATAGATGTTTTAACTGCAATATGTTTTCCATTTGTTGTGCTTAGTAGGTTATTTTGAGTCTTTGTAATTAAAGTAAACTAATAAGTGTTTGTATCTGTAATATTCTTTATTAAAGTGTTGGACACTCCAGACTAAGATTTGTTTTTTGTCTCTTCAGTGCTGTCTCAGCAGTTTTATTTGATAATGGAGCTCTTATTTATTTATTTATTTTTTGTCATTTCCTGTCATTACACAAATACTCAGGATGATGTGTAAACGTATCCGTCTGGGTGGAACGAACAGTTACTTCGAACATGGAAATTCATGACAGCAGTGCTGCTTTACAAACGTGTGCCTGCAGTGCTTGTCCTCTCCTGGTGGTGTCCTCAGTCCATAAGTCCTGACGGCTCCTGGTATAAAGACAGTTTTGACAAGCTGACTGTGTAGCTGTAGGGATCCACAGTATGTTCTCAGTCCCCTGTGTAAATGTTACCTCAGAGTGCTGAGTTGGCTGCTGGCTTTGCTTTTGTCTGCCAGAATGCTGCATGGCTCTAAATAGGATTTAGTCTGTGGTTAACACCAGGTTAGAGTCAACAACACCACGCGGTGCGTATATTTGTACTCTATATGAACAGTGAGTGCTGCGATTAGAGGGAGAGAGAGCTGCGATCAGTTTTTATTTCTATTAAAAATGCAATTAAGAAAGCCCGGGCACACTCCTTATGAAGACATTAAGAATTAATGCTCTATAATCAGTCTACATGGATGTAATTTATATCTTGAATTGAATTATAGGTAAGCTGACTGTAATTTTATAATACTGAGTGACAGCATGTTTCATCACACATGCAACCATACTTAATCTCTCCATGTCCCATTTCTTTAAATAAAGACAATGTGACATTTGCATGATGTGTGAGATGACAGATGAAACCTGCCACGATTTTCTAATCTTTCACATGCGAATCACATTGCAGATGGCTGAATGTGATTCAGGTCTTTCTTGGCAGACTTCATCACCTCTTTCTCGGTGTTAGCGGGAAGGAAGGCGAGGATGGAGAATAGTACTGGCAGGAAAAATGTCGTTTTTGGGTGGTCCAGCAGTAGAAATAAGAACATTTTCTGAAGTATTCTACTTCAGCATGATATTAATGTACTTGCACTTTTAGATTTAAATATGTTTCATATCCAAATAATTTCCCAAGCTGTTGTTTGTCATCCATATAAAGTAACAATTTCAGATTTAGACATTAAAAATGAACAGCTTACAAGATACTTCCCATGCAGTTCCCAAGAATTTCTTTAAAAATTGCTTTAACCAAAAATGTCATATTTTCATTATTATGCTTTTTATTTTATTTTTTAAAAGATCAACAACACTACATGCCATTTATCCAATGACCCTTCGATGAAGCCTGAAAACTATGATGGGAATCAAATCAAAATCCCAATACCTAACTATAAATGAAAACCATTTAGACCTGCAACAGGAAGTTGTTTCCTATGCAGTGTATTGATATCAACAATCTATTAATGTCTTATACATGACATAAAACACATGGCTAATATTGTCCAGGTCTCCCTAGTGTCTCTAAACAGCTCTGATTTGACATGAATGAGGGAGCTCTGGGGGTGTCTGTGCTGTTGGTGGTGGATTCTTTGGGTTGTGGGGTTTGACCTTTGAGGATTAAGCTTGCTCTGATGCATCCCAAGGATGCTTGTCTAAATTTGGATTTGGGGAGTTTGAGTCTGGATCAGCACCTTGGAGTCTTTGTCATGTTCCTTGAGCAATTCCTGAGCTGTTTCTGTGCTGTGGCAGAGTGTGAAGCCGCTGCTGACAAGAATGATCGTCGCTGTGAAGGGAGGTATGAGGTCGACAACAAGGCTCAAGTGGGTGGTATGTGTAAAAGTAACATCCACAGTGATGGCAGGGCTCAAGGTCTTTGGGTCCTATAGATGATGGTTTTAATGCCATGACTGATTAATGTATGTGTCAGATACACATTGGGGATTAGAACATTGCTATTTTGGTACTTTTACTTTAGATAAAGACTTTGAATGCTTACCTTACAACTTTCTTTCTAACATATCTTTTCCTCCAAAGGTATGATCTCGGCTCGGTTGAGATGATGGCATCACACCGTGTTCCTTCCGGTTTGCTTTAGAATTTTAAAGTTAAAAAGCCACGAGTCTCGTGACCTCGCAGGACAGATTGGCACTATAGCTTAAATAATAACCCAATGCAAGAGCATCCTCTTATGCAGCCTGTTTAAAGGTGATGAGCTCCTTGACATCTTTTGAACATTTAAAACATGAAACACACTTTTGATTGGCAGTAAAAACACACATTTTCTCAAAAACTGTAAATGAAAACTGTGTGAAATGTTCCACGCTCCACAGACTTCACAGGAATCCTGTCAAGGAATTAGCACAGTGGATGTAACATGTTGCCAGAGCCTGTAAAGATTGCTTGTCCACCCTCTTTGAGCCATGCTATCTTGACTTTCCCCTGTAAACAAGGACAATTACCAAGCTAATGAGTTGAGGAAAAACTGCTTGAGTGATTGATACTCTTAATGGGGAAATTAATTTGATATTAATAGAGCACTTGGCAAGATAAATAGATAATGGTGTGTTAGTCCTCTCCTTGATTGATAATGGCTAGATTGATGGCTGTCTTAATGCAAGATGTGCCTTAGCCATAAATGAGGTGGTCTTGATGAGGAGCGATTTTTGTGTCATGAGATGATCAAACATTGAGAGCACTAAGTGCTTATATTTATTTTGATACTGATTTTTAAGTACACAGGGACTCTGGTCTTTTTACCTAACTTGGTTTTATCAAGAAGAAGAACAACTACTATAATAGAGAATAAACAGAGCTTACTGCATATGTAAATTTAAAAAAAGACATCATTTATGCTAAATGATGCAAAAGATGTTGGTCAACCATTGCTGTAACTTCCCCCATCTGATCTTGTGAGATTCTGTTTGCTCCTTAAATAATCACCTTGCATCATTCCCGCAATTCCTGATGACTCATAACCTTAACCTTCTGTTGCTGAAGCAGTTTGCTTAATGACGCACTCACAGTCTGACTGTTGCACCCCGTAAATGGCACCTAACATACTCGTATATTGCACCCTGTTACATGGGTCAGCGCTGCAGAACAAAGAGTGAGAAGTTACTCATTTCTCAGGGAGTTTGCACCAGTGTGTGTGTGTGTGGTTTCTAGTTGCAGCGATTACACAGCTATCTCATATTGCAGGCTCCCTCATACCTGACCAACTCAATCTTTCTGTGTCTCCTCAATAATCAGAGTGACAGCGAGCAACTAGACATATCTCACCCGCTGGCTCACTGCAGAATGGGTATTGACCTACATATCAAATCATACACTTCTGGCTTGTGTGATAGAGACGGGGGAGGGGGTGGTGGTGGGGTGCCGTATGATTGACAGCGCCTTCTTTGGTAAACACGTTTCATCCCCCGGGTATCTCCCTCTTCGTATGTATTTGTTATAGGCAAAAATCGCACGGCAAAGAGAAACGTCCCGCAAATCCTATAAGCTTGGAGTTAGAGCGGCTTCGGCACCTCCGCTACTGTAACAGTAGAGAACAGCTGAGAACACCTGGCTGTCGGAGTGTGTATTTTTATTAACGAGCCTATGTCACCAAACTTTTAACAAATGGCCCCCCGGCACCCTGAAAAACCCAGCTCGGAAATTAAGCATCTGCATCATAAATCTTGGAAAGTTACAATAATTTGCAATTCACTCCCTCATCAAAGGCAATATTACCCTAATTTATTATCTCCCGGCACGAGGGGTGCGCAAAGGCCGTGGAGATAAGAGTTTATCAGGAGGGGGATTGATTTTCATTAACTGATTGTAATAAAGATGAACTGCCTGCCGTGCACACTGACCAAGAGTCACACTTTATTGTAATTGGGACAATTTATTTTATGAGCCAGTGGCTCTACTTTTTTGTCCCTCCCCCTTTTTTCTTTCATATCCATCTCCGCTCTTCAAAATAGGAATCTAATGTCTCAGCTGTTCTGCTTCTTTTGTTACAGTGACTCCCGATGTATGAAGATGATCATTACAAGATGTATGTGGAGACAATTCAAATGTCAACAGATGTTACTTTAGATTTAGCTTCTGGCATCAAAGCAGTGCCACGGTTTTCTAAACTTGACTGATGGTGCGTGCCTGCCTTATATCAACTTATTGCTTCCTGCTTGTCTGCATTGTAATGATATTTGTCCCCGTTATTCTCGTGAAGCGTTGCTATGACACCTATTCACTGGGATTTATATATTTAGGGTTTTGTTTTTGTTTTTTTGGTATTTTGTTCCCATCAACCATTTCCTGAGAAGTACGCTCCAAAAACGGAGTGAAAGATAACCAAAACAGCTCTATATGTTGGATCATAGTTATCACATGAGAATAAAACGACTGGAATTCCAGTCATGATGAACTCCAGAGTCGACTCCCGATGATGTGAGAGCTGTAGAAAACGGCTTCATGTGAAAAGTGTTTAAAATGGTTTTAAACAGCAGTCCTGAATCCATATAGGGCCGTTACGCAATTACCGCAGCTTCCTCACTCGGCGTCAGAGACGACCTCTGAGGTGGTGAGCAACATCTACGTCCTGTAAAAGTTTCAAGCTCTTGGAAATGCCGAGGGGAGCGAGTGCTTGTGCAACAGCTCCCCCTCTCTTTGCGCCGCCGCGGTTCAGCGCTTCAATGCAAGTGTGAGAAACGAAACATCCAGTTTGAATTTTTATTGTAAAATTGGAAAAAAAGGAGAGAAAGAGAGAAAAGCCTCGATAAGCATTTCTTTTTTGATACATATCTTTATCTTACCATAACCGTAAAATCAAATAAATAAAACTGGCAAAATAAATAAGAAAAATAAATAATAAATAAAATAAATAAACATCAAATTACATATTTGACCCGATAATTATAAAATTATTAAATCATCAGTCATTAATATGAAGTAATCTAAGCAGCAAGTATTAAGAAATTTCAACAGGGGAAAAATGTTTGGTTTCTCAGGCTAATACAGAACACATATTTTTTTTTCTTCATAATTTAATTTAATTTTTTTATAAAAAGATACTGCTTTCCCTGTCAGTTATTCCATGCTGTAC